ATTTTTATTTTATGTTGAGTTGAGTTTATAAAACGTATTTTATTAAAAAAAATTTTAATGTTTTCGTCCATAAAATTTTTCAATATTAAAATATTCATCGGATTGTTGGTTCAGTTAGAAAATAGTGCCCATATAAAGCATTCCATAAAATTTCAAGTACGTACCATTGGCCATTTTTAAAATATCATGCGCGCAATGTGGAAGCATGGCGAAATATTTTGTTACAAAGAAGATTAAATTACAAAAATATTTGTGGCAACACAAACTTTCTGGTTACTAGTTTCCAAAGCAGCTACATTATGTAGTCAGCTGTAAAAAGTTGGAAGTAGTTGCTTTTAAAATAAATAAAATATTCCAATTCTTGCAACTCTCACATATTCGAAGATCATGAGGGGTTTAAGGTGTATGAGTCCCCTTAAATACTTTCTAATTTATTTGTATTCTGGTAAGGATACAGAAAGGAGAAGTGATAGTAAAGCTGGCATTATAAATAACTAGTTACTAAAAAGAGCTATTCCTACAAGCTTTTAAAATAAAACTGAAAAGGGTGCTGGAGATTTTGCAACAAAAATATTTCTCCTTTTCTTTTAGCCAAAAACAGCTATTAGTCTCGAAATGTAATTTTACGTTGGTTCACTATAAACGTCGTATCACTTTTCCAATTATTTTCAAACTATCAATTACAAATTATTTTTAAAATAATATAGCCCTGTAATAATTTTAAAGCAATTAAATAATGAAGAAACTGCATATATGTATGAATGTATGTTCCTTGCATTGTGAAAGAATAGTGGCAACCAGAGCATCAAATTTTTAATAACGTAATCCTCCATTCAAACATTTGCGCTGGAACTCGAGTTTTGAATATCAAATTTGTTTTTTATTTATTTATTTCATAGTTTGTAAAACTTCCATTACATTTCTTTCCCATAACAAGAAAATCAGTTTCATATTCTCAGAGGTCGCTAGAAAATTAGAAATAATCCTTGTGGAAAGGCAACTAAAAATTTCTTGCTTTCCGCAGTTTCGTAATTCAGATTTATACAGAACTAAAGAAAATAATATTAGATTACAAATTCAATAGAATTCTTAAACTGGTTTATCCGAGTTCTTGTATTAAATTTCCTAATTTTTACAATTTAATTTTCTTACTATATCTGCATGTCGGTATAGTCAATGTTGTATTGAATATTGCAGAGAAAGTAAAAAGTTTCGTTTTATATAAGAAATAAAAATATGAAATATTTTCCTTTTTTACTGCAAGCAAAAGAAGCGAAAGGGAAAAGATCTAATTTCTGTTATATATTTTAAAAGTCTGCAGCACAGCTAGATTAATTTTACAGCATTCTTTATAACCTTTTTGCGAAACAGAGTTTATTTGGTTTCTCCAAGCCAGTTTTCCTTCTCATATAGTATCCCCCAAACTAATTAAACTGCATGAGAATATTAATTTAAAAAAGCAGCTGAATATCTGGACATTTTTTTTTTCTGGAACATTCGCTTTCTCACATAATCAACGAACGGCATTACATGTAATCGATAATATTGCGTGAGATCTAGAGCGAATGTGTAACTGAGAGACACGTGTTCAGAAGTATGTATCTGTTACGAGTACTTAAAGGTCGTAAAAGATAAAAAGTATCGTCACAGACTGAAACAACATTTTCTCTACTTCTTTCTTTTACTTTTCTCTGTGCCTAAATTACAGCTGACTGCTAACGGATGACGTTTCTCACGATCTTTATTCTTTTCTAAAGTGAAAAAATTTAAAAACGTGAAACTTTTTTGATAAGAAAATGATATCAGATGCAGAAATTCTTACACTACTGACATATTTTCATTCTTACCTGTCACTAGTTTACCATCATAAACGTATTATTTTTAACCCAAAAGTATTAGTATAGAAATAGGATTTTCCTTGTATTGCTTCAGTATGCATATACTGAACCAATACAAGCATGCATTGGTTCAGTATTACAGTTTGTTGTCATTTATTTAAATAACAAATTTTCAGGGTGCCCTTTAAAATCGAGCTATATAAAATCTAACATTATTAACCTATAAGGGTCGTCACTTCTGAATGGGATATTAATCTTGAAACGACATTTTGCGTTGAATTACTATAAGCCGTGTAACACTTTTCAAAGTGATGCCACAAAATATTATCGACCTGTGTTATTTTTAAAATAATGTAAATAATGAAGAATCTACATGTTCTTCGCTTTGTGAAGAAACGACGGTACCTTGATCCATCAGACTTTGAATAACGTAGTCCTCCACCAAACATATGCACCTGGAATTCCGAATTTTGGATTTCGAATTTGTTTTATTATTTGTTTCATATTTTGTAAAACTGTAATGAATTTTTGGTTAACAAACTCAAAAATGTGAAAGCGAGCATTGGCAATACTGTACGATATAAAATATTTTTATCTCTAGCGCGCGAGATAATTTATCAGAATTTCTATAGACACCCTGTTTTTAAATATTCTGTGATTCTGCTGTTTTGAACTGGCGAGAGTGCGAGGAACACGATATTTAATTAATAAATTTAACACACAAAATGAAAAAGGTTAATAATAAAAAGACAAAAATACGTTTCGCAAGCCGTCTTTCTAAAACAGAAGATTCGTATGATACACTGAGAACAGACTGAAAAAAAAAAGAAAATATATGCCAACACTGCATTGGGAATTCTAAACATATTCTGCTATACTGATTTTAACTTTTTGTAATTTTGCTGTTGAATTATATATGGCGTAAATGCGAAGAAAATTAGGCTTAATAATAAAGCTAAAAGGACAAAAAAAAATGAAATGGGTTAGTAGAAGTAAGTCCACCAGCAGACTGGCAGATTGCGAGCTCAGCGACAGTGTAAAAAAACCTTAACAAACCCTTTTGGTCGACCGCTAAAATCTGAACTCTTTAGGATTTTTTTATTTAATTTACTTTGTTTTCTGTTATTACTTCATTTTCATCTTTTAAATATTTACATTTTCCTTCTTTTTATTTTTAAAATAAAAGTGTTCTTTATTTGTGTCCTCCTGTTTTGATGCCAGAAATATATATTTTGTATGTGAGTCCGTACATATTTAGAAGAAGTATAAAATGCACAAAAATGCACAGAATGTATAAAAAGCGAAAAATATACAAATACTGCTGAAAATTGTAACAAATTCTTTAAATTTTCTCTCTCTTCAGTAATTTAATAATCTGATAATCAGATGTGCATGCATTCCCTGGGCTCAAATAAAATATTTCACAGGAATAAAAACCTTAAATAAATTTTATGGGCGGACTACAGTATAAAATATATTTTGTTGCTTAAATTTTGGACATGAGTATGTACATATTAAACTTCTCATAAATAGTTAAACTGTGTAGAATGTAAGAAAAAAATCCATAGAAAATGAAGTTTGTAAAAAACATGAAACTCCTTTAACCTAAATTTCTAAGATTAGAAGCAAAATGTCATAATATAAATAGTTTTAAAACTGAATAAAATTTTAAAAATATTGAAATACATATCAATTAAATTTAATGTTTTCATGTGGTATTGTATTACAAAGCTTTCATTCTTGCCTATCGGACAAAAGTTTCGAATTTATAGCACTAACTGTGACGAGGTCTAAAACATAATACCATATGCTTACATTTTATCCTTTTGAATTTTTTAATATGCATAACTATTTAAAAAGTTTAATACTAACAAAGTTGTTAATTGATTAACGTTATTCATATTTTTTTATATTGTGCTCTCCCTGTTTTAAATTTCGCCTTAGTTCCGTTATATCATTAGAAAACTACTACGGACCTCTGCTCAATGAAAAACACACTTTAACATGACCTCTGGAAGACGATGTTTTTCGAATTTTAGCATTTCACATTCAAATATTTGGAATAAATATTCAAATGGAATATTTGGAATTCAAACTTATACGCGCAGTTCTCAGCGCAAAATTATCTTCTACAAATTGCACAGCTGTACGCAGCTGTTTTCCCGAAATATTAAGCCAGTTTCCTCAAAAAAGTACTTAATATTTTAGGCAGTTTTGATCATATGAAAATTAATTAATTTGGGAAGGAGAAACAGCATTCATTTCGGCTACGAAAATATTTTTCTAACTGATATATATATATACAAAAGACAAATTAATTTTTCGTGTATTTGAGCCAAAATCAGTCACTTGACAAAATTATCACGTCCAAAAACATACTTTATACTCTTTATTTCTTCAATTAAAACAATGGGTCTATAACCATTCGTTTAAAAATATTTCTTGTAATATATTTTTAAATATCATATATAGCTATAAAGTAATATATCTTAAAATTTGCGTCCATTCAGCAGGAATTATTCCAAAGCAGTTTTTTGCCATTGTAAATTGCAGCATTCTGAACTTAACAAAAAATAGGAAGCAGATCCTTACCAAGTGACGATATCGTAGAAGACGCATCTACATGTGAAAGCCGAAATCACAGCCGAATCATGGAAATTATGGAAATCGTGTGTTCTTCGTTGTTTCCTTCGGAAATACTTAATTAGAATTAAGCTAAACATTTTTATAACTGTCGCATTTTGTTTCGCTCACATTGATCCTCACATTAATACGTAAATCCTGCGTCTTTCTGTATTAAATACGGAATGCTTTAATTCCATGTATTTCATTGTTTCGCCCATCACCATTGTTTTCGATAGAGGAATAATAATTTCCTCAATTTACCTTAAGAAGAGTTGCAAGTATTTTGAATCTACAGAACACTGTCAGTTTCATTTTAACAGATATGATCATACATTTCTAAAACCATAGCTGGAAGTTCTAAGGATGAACACGAATTTGTAAAAGAAAACTATATATTTGGAGCTGGCTATATTTCAACTTCCAAAATAACGTTTTATGTGAGATTTATTTCAGCTGTAGTAGCACTCATTTTCAAATGATGAAACTGTACTCTGTTCAAATATATACACAGAATATGAAATTAATTTTTCTTCGCAGATAACAAAATAGTGTGTGACAAAGAACTGGATTGGTTGAAGAGGTATCGTCAGGTGCATCAGCTGGAAGGTGATTGTGTTGCTCCGAAAGAACAGGACGGCAGAGCTATTAAGGATGTGTATTACAACAGGTAGACTGACAGTGTATAGAATGGATCATTTTCATCTTCTCATTCCATACCTCATCTTGTCAGACTGAATGTAATTATTTGTATATAATGTTCTTCGAAACATCATTTCTAATTATTGTGTTCGATAACTATCATATTTTTGTTCTACTGCTCCATTTTATTTCACGTTGTTTTTATTTTATTCTTTTTACAGTGTTGTAGTTATTTTTATGTAAAGTTTTTATGCTAAATAGGATACAAATGTGTGAGAATCAATGAGAAAGTGCTGACATTCATTTATATATTTAAATAACATGTGGATTGAGTTACACGACGTTTCAAAAAGTGTCGATAGCATTGCATCGGTGTACATACTTTTATAAATAAAATATCTTTATTATGTTTTTGTGGTATGTTTAATAATCATTTCAATAATACTTTTTCTACAAGTAAAACAGACCTACGTGTAAGTTTCTAGCATTACAAGACTGATCTAATTTTCTAAATGCTACATTTTATGAATAAAATTAATAAATGTAAGATAATAAATATTTAAATTATTAAATAATAATTCAATAATAATTTTTATCTCCGTGATTTATTTAAATTTTACATTATTATACTTGCAAGGAACATTTAGCATGCATTAATAATAAGTAATTTAATGTTACCTTAAACTAAAGTATTCTTTTACTCATTTCATTTGTTTCTTTTAAAATCTTCAAAACCCTATTTTTTCAAACCCCTATGCACATAAAGATGTATATTGGCATGAGTGTACATAAATATGTATTATTCCTTTTTTCGGGATATTCATATATATATACTTTTATATATAGTAGTATGTATAGCTTTCCATTCCTTTATGCACGTATAGCACATAAAGGAATAAAATGAATCACATAAAAGTCTTGTGCTGTTTTCAAAGTCTTTGTAGAAATTTTTCAGTTAAATGCTCAAGGGCGTAATCCGAGATGAAAAATTGTTTTCAAGTAGAAACCAAAATCAAAACTCTTAATTGATCTTAATGATTTATTTAATATTTTAAATTGTGTTAATTGCCTTAGACCATCTAACGAATAAGCACAATATTTTAATAAAGCCCCAGTCGCTGCAACATTGTCGAGAAGAAAAGGCTATAACAGTAAGAGATATCGCCTGTTATGCTGTTATGTACCCTTATTAATTAAAATATAGTCTCAGTTCTGTGGGAGATACTTCTTATTTGCTCCTCCATTCCATACATTAATGTGAATCAGTGCGAGCTTTGATCAAAATTTATTATGTTTCTTACATTGGTATAAAACAATATAACAATTTCATGCGCTAAGAAATTATAAAAGAGGAAATTAGGAGGACAGGAAAGAAACAAAACCGCTGTGCATTAAAATTATAACTTATTTCATCACATGTTTCCTATATAATGTGCCATAATAAATTTTCAGAGACATTTAGACTGTATACACTTGTTCATGATAACGAAGATATTTCTCAGTTATGTGGTTTGTCACGGTATCTGAAGATTATGATTTGTTGGATGCTAGTCAAGATTACATACCATACAGCTTTTAAAATTCTAAGCATGTTAATTCCATATACTCGTATATACATGCAGACAAGTAAAAAAGCTGAAATCTCCTAAATACTTTCTTCTTTACGTTCCAATGATGCCAATTAAATAGTGACCACATTTTCACACGAGTTCCATTATTATGCGTTGTAAATTAAACATTCTCCAAAAAAGTATTTAACCTCAACAATAAAAGTCTAAGCACGGGCTGAAGGAAGGGTAGCACTTGTGCGTCTAAGAAAGAATATTAGGTATCGTCAGTCTTTGCTAACTGCTAGGTTTCCGCCTCGGATGTACTTCCAAGGGACAAATGCAGTGCAAGAGGTCACCCATCCCTTTTCCCTACCGAAAGCCTGGATTCGGCTTGCATGTATTGTGAATCAGTCCTTGCTGTACAGACGCTATACGCCTACAAACCTCCATGCCCTCTCCGGGGTTGGAGCCCAGACCCTTCGGTACTGCAAAGTATCTCGTCTGAACGGGTCATGATAATAGTCGACATTCATGCATATTTTTCCTTTTTACATTTTATTTCATCGAATTAAAAAGATCAGATAATATTTTCGACTACATTTCTATCCGCACATTTGAGCAGACTGTCGACATATATATTATGCAATGAAATGAACCTAATCTGCCATGCTTCCTCGGCGTGTAATGCCATTTTCTCCAGATGATGGAACAAGGCTACAAGGCTTCTGTTTTTCGTTATGTCCATAGCAAATGTTGTCAACACTCCCAGTAGTTAAATAATAATTAATCTCATGGTATCTATCCCTTAATACTATATTTCTTAGGTACTTCCGCTTGACTGTATGTTCTATATTGTATAAGGTATATCTGTACTTTCTGTTGTTCAATAACATATATAGAAAGACCCCGGTGAGCTAGTATTCAGTCAGATTTTCTTTATTTCGGTACTCTATATTCTCAACGAACCAACAGGTAGAATAGATAGATATTTATGGCTTAGGATTCAAACCACATTAGGCGAATCTCGAATATAATGTGGACTAATATAAGAGCACATGAATTTACACCTTCAATATTTGAGTGAAAATGGTTATATTCAAAAGAATTGTGTTTTTTCTTTGCTTTTAAATGCATGATGAATTTCCTTGTAAAATAAGCATACCAGTTACAAGGTATTTCTCCCGCCTTCTTAGCAGCCTTCGTGGTGTAGTGGTCAGCCCACTCAGCGCGTAATTGAGAGGTACGTGGTTCGATTCCCGGCAAAGACGTTTGCTCAGTTTCCATCTTTCTTGCTTTCAAAAAAATACCTAATGTCTCTACACAATAATTAATAAAATCAGCACAATTAGAGGAGCAATGCTAAATCTTCTTATTTTTTGTTTTGATAATTTATGGCCCCGAAGCTTTTTATCTGCAAAGTAAACATCAGAATTTGGCTGAAAAAAATCATTTTTAGGTTTCTCATCCTCAGTTTCAGACATAAATTAGATCATCAGCAAAATTTTCCATGTGTAAGAGGAAGAAGGGTCAATAATAATTTACTTACTAGCTTTAAAATATACTTTGACATGACATCCTTTACAAAACAAAGCATTCCAGAAGGCTTTTACCTTCGTAAATTACTTTACATTAAGAAAGCTTTCACCCATTCCTGATGAAAAACTTGAAGAACAAAAAGTAGCCCTATGGCCTACACTTTAATATCTTTATACTGTTATCAAATTCAGATATGTTTTTAACTGTATCACTTTAATTATTCAATCTAATTTGAAATTAGTATGACTTTAATTATTTAATCCGACTTAAAATTACTTCAAATTAACACTTTTAATCAAGATTAAAACTAATTTCTGGGTTATCCATTCTTTTAAGTTGTTTACAAATTTTAATTACAGAATTAATAATATATGATAGTTTGTTTCCGTTATTTCTTTCCTAATAAAAACCAAATATAGTCTAACTTCTGCAGTGTAATTAGAATATTGATTCATTAAAATATTTTATTTGTTATTTGATTTAAACTGTTATTAAAAATTAATTATATTTAAAATTTATTTATTTATTAGTTATATTTAAAGAAATCGCGGATGCATATTTAAGATATCATATTTTCATATTTTTCGCATTTATTATAAATCTAGAGAGAATAGTTAGTTTTTTTAATATTTGCACAACTACTGAAGATTAGGTTTAATGTATATTAATTATTTTTCCCATTTCTGAGGTCCCATGTACTTTAGCTTTATACACGTGTCTTCAAAAAAAAAGGATGAACGCAGTTTTAAGATGTTATCAGTTTCTTATCTCTAATATTATAAGATCAGAGCTGAAAAGCAAATATTTAAGTAAATAACTCCCATAACAAATAATCTGTCCTTTTGACCTTCGATGATTCGAAATATAAGGACTTCCCATCAGTTTGCTGATATATACTAGGCTTACTACAGCTTTAATTACTCCACACAATATTTCAAAATTCCGGATTGAATTTGAAAGTTTTATCACAATTTATTTTAGTTTGAAAATATTTATTGGCAACATGTTATATTTACATAAACATATTAATTTTTATCCAATTAAATTTTAATTCGAACTTAACCGAAGTATAGAGGTTAAAGCATAAATGTTTGCTTGGTCGTTTAGAAGAAAACAGGCAAAACACGAATGGAGATATATCTTCGTGGAGGAGGTTTTAAGGGAAACTACTTTCTATTCGCTTTACTTAATACAAAATACCATGAAACCCCGAAATAAGCCAAACAGTTTGCCCGAATTCAAAGCCAAAAGAATTAGTTATAATTAAAAATAAGAAGAATTTCTCCTCATCCTCCCCGAAACATTACTTATTGTATACAGAGTATTTTAAATTACACTCGATTTAATTCGTAGAATGACTTCTTCTGTTTTCTCTGTAAACTGTGAAGTACAACTACCAAAGTTTGAGGTTTCGTAATCTCAATGATTAGAAGAAGGAATAGGGGAAAGCAGACTGATATGAGTTTAGGCAATAATAAGCTTGTAAATAAGGATATAAAATAGGAATTAAGTAACTTCCAACCTATGCCATAAATCTGAAGATGACGTCATCAACTGATATCAACCACCAGTAAATTTGATTCCATTTTTATAAAATTAGTTATCATGTCTTCTATTTAGAGATAGTACGTTACAATAATAATAAGAATTGTACATAAAAATTTAATAACATGTATGTTGAAATATTTAAATTATTTTGAAAAGATAAGAAATAGCTACAGTCTTCGAAGTAATATTATCTACAGCTAGGATAAAAAAATTATACCTGTTTCAAGTTACCTAGATGGAATCCTCGAGTGAACAAATGTATTTTCATAGAGTAAAATTATACCTTAAAATTCCTTTTTATGATCTTTCTCTAAGCCTAAGCATAATACTCTAAATAGATTCCTTGCTCAGGAATAACTCGCTTTCCTTCCTCGCTTTCCTATTCCTTGCTAAGAAATAACTCGCTTTCCTCGGAATAACTCGCTTTTGTTCCTCGCTTCCTTAACTCGCTTTCTTTCAAGGTCAAGGTGGCTTAATCCAAACCAATTTATCATTCAAAAATGATTTTCAATTTATGAAAAGCTCTAGAGAAAGAGTAAATCGCATGTGGTGCCCAAAGCAAAGAGCGAATTTCGTCTTACTTTTGTCATACATCATACGTGCAATACACAAGCACAAAATGGTAAATACCTTTGTACCATCTGCATGACATTGATACAAAACTTGCGTTAAAAATATTTTCCTAAAATTTATTTAACCTGGTGTTATCTTGAAATACCCATCCGCTTGAGCGACGTGCCTAAATCGGCATTACAGGCAAATTTTTAGCTCTTAGAA